TCATGGCTTCACTGAGTTACGCAAGCCCCTTCGCCACGACAAGGCAGTGATCCATGAAGGGGAATCCTTTATTACATTTATAAAAATGGAACCAGCATTAATGGTTTATTTCTGTTATACTCACACAATTGCAACAGTGGTCAGTGGTTAAAATATTGCTGGTTATGGTAAGTATGCACAGAAGTTTTGTGCTTCACTATGTTTCAGAGTCACTTTCCTCTCCTAGATTTATATGAATTCACAAATTCACTATTGGCATTACCACCACCACCACCACCCCCTTTCTTTATCGAAGGGAAAAAAGCAGCTCCTTTAAGGTACTTGCTTCATATTCAAGATGGTTCAGAGATGACTAACACTAAGAGGCTTCATGGTCAAATGTTGAAGCAGGATCATTGAATTGTAATGGTGCAGTTTACCTGCAAAGGGAGGGGAGTGTTGGTTCGCTTGTTTTATTGGAGAGTTTGCCTCAAATGGAGCTCACGTCCTGGTGACCACTTGGACATGTCCATGTAGATTTCTTGGCTACAATTCCCTGGTGCTTTGCCACTAGCTTCTCCTAGCATGTTGCTTTGAATTCCCAGATTAGCCTTCAGTTCTGGAATTTCCTGGTTCCCCACCCAAGATTTGTCAATCCTAAGCTTTTTTCTGAGATCAGCCAAGGTTGGCTAGGTGCTATGTGTGCATAAAGAACAAAAGATACCCAACTTGGAAAAGTTTTTAAAAGATAAAAGTATACACACAATTTTTAATACATGAGAAGGACTTCAGAAAAAGAACTCCACAAGAATGCCATTATTCACCAAAAGCATGCTTACTATTGTGATTATCTATCTTTCTATCTTTTTATCTTTCATTTTCCTGGGCTATTCTAGTTGTCACACATGCAATATACAAGTGTCGTGTGTGTGTGTGTGTGTGTGTGTGTGTATGCATGCTTGTATATTGCATATGTGACAACTAGAATAGCCCAGGAAAATGAAAGATAACTTACTGGGCCAAAAGGAAAGGAAATAACTAAGTACATTAGCAGTTTGTTGGCTGGAAAGCAAAATAGAGAGTTGATGCTGTTTTCCACACATATCTTACACATTGGAGGAACATGTTAATCCTATAGAGCCCATATCCTATTCTCAGCCTCTGTATATGAACAAATAAAGCCTGTTTCGCAAAAATGCCATCAGTTTTAGGGACTTACTTCTATGGAAACTAACCCTGAATAAGCACTGTGACTCAGAAGTGGGGTACACCCAGGGTGTCCACATGGTATGGTCAAAAGAGTCAAGATGATGGCCACATTGGTGAGCTTGAAAATCCACCCATTTTTTTGTAGATCACAGAGCTCTGATCGCACCATCATGGCACCATCTTGACCCCTGGGTGCACCCATAATTCCAAAGCAAAAGTGAATGAAGCTATAATAATCTCTAACTGGTAATTGACAATTGGTTGAGTTAGCTGGATCTGGGAAATAAATCCACATCTATATTGCAGGAATACTGTCATTGTCCTGAGAGAGTTCTTGTAATTCAGACCTAAATCAGCCCTAGAGTTCACTTTAAGGCAAACATTTAAAAGCAGGACACTGAGGGCAGGTTCTGTTTTTTTATTATTATTATTATTATTTTAGAACACTGTGATATTGCTTCCTCTGATTTTCAATCCAAGCACTGTATACAGATCACATCCATTTAGCTTCAACGGTGCCAAAGCCCAGGTTCCTTCAAGTTTTACAAGGCTACATGGTAAAGCTGTAAAAATTATTAAGCTTCATTTCAGGCAAAAATATGAATTCTGATGATTCCACTAGAGCAATGGGTGAATGAAAACAGTCACACATTTTACATCAAGACCCATCAGGGCTTTGTGGGATCAGATCCCTTATGTTTCTTTCCTAAGTCCCAACTATTCTGTATCTAAAGCCCATGACATTCAGGTTAAAGCTTTTGCCTGAGTGTTAGCAAAGAACAGGTAATATGTGAAGTAGAACTGAAAACCATTATTAATTATTGTCACCATCTATCAGACGACGCATTGATCAAAGGTTTAAAAAGAGGTGGTAAAGTACATGCAGAAGAAATAAAATCTTCCTCCAAGCTTAAGAAAGAAAGAAATCAATGTCCTGTGTTTTGTTTCTTTCATTGATTTTACTCTTTAATGAATTTTTAAAAAACCCTGGTTAGAAGCCAAATTCAATCAAACATTTAATCAAATGGTTGTCCTAGTTTAATGTCAATTACTATACATATTCATTCCTTACAATAAGCAGGGGGAAATGATGGAGAGGCGGTTTTGTGGCTTAGTGTCAATAGCCATAAAACCACCTCACCTTCTAGCAACTCAAATCTATCCAAAATCCACATTTGCCACAGAGGAAAAGATTCTATCAACTAGTATTGGTGTGAAAGGGGAAACGCTTGATACTAATTCTGAGCTAAAATCTGTCCTTCCCTTGAAAAAAAGGCATCTGTTTTTCTATCACATTCTCAGATTCTTTCAGTTTCTTCCACAAGTGAACCACCATCGGACTCAGTTTAGTGCACCCCTTCATTCTTATGATGTCAAAGGCTTGGAAAGCTGAACTTTCACCTCAGCTCCTGCTCCAGTCGAAATACTGCAAGGACAGTAGCAAAGCAGAGAACTTCTCTTTGGTGGGAACTCCTGTCTCATCTCACCTCACTTCCTTCTCTTGAAATATTCCACTGCCATCTGTGGAATAGTGAAGGTCCTCAGATTCCTTGGTTTATTTTCCTTCTTCCCTGAGTACTTCAGGAGTACCCAGAGGGGTCACTATTTTCCCCCATCACCGTGGAAGACAATGCAGTAAAGAAGCAAAAAAGATGAAGGGAAGAAACTGGAGTGCCAATTTCCCTGTTCCTCCATCAGTCAGCCAGATTGCCCTTCCTTCCTCTCCCTTCCTCATCCACTGAAACTCTAGGGCAGCTAATATTGTGAAAGAACAGCAGCAGTGGGACCAGCGGCAGTGGGGAAAAGCCCTTAGAAGAATCTTTGAGGCGACTGACTATCTTTAAGCACCCCTGCTTTCTGGCCTGAAAATGGCTCTGGAGAGTTATTCGTTATATTACATCTTCCCCTGGGATTTCACTGAGGGCTTGGAAGCTGCAGACTGCTGGGGAGATCATCATACCATACAGAATGGGACTGTCTCAACCAGCTGGGAATTAAGATAAGACTGAGGATTCCAATTTTTCAACCCACCTTGAAAAAATGGCCAAACATTTTTTCCCACACCCTTTCTTTTCCATCAAACTGAATGAGAAGGATAAAATGCCATTTCAAACATAACTCCAAGAGATGAACAATGGGTTCAGTCTTTGACCAATACATCAATATGACACCAACCTCTATGACCATGATAAAATTGTGATTGCAATCAATTCAAATCAGAACAGATGGTTAACTAACCTCTTTCCTTAATGTACACTGTAGACATTAAACAACCAGAATGATAATGGGTTAGGCCTTAATCAAACAGCTAATGCTCAGCTCATTCAGAATTTCTCCACCTATGATACCAGAGAACCAAATGTTAGCATCTTTGGCTTAACATCTCCATCATTTGCTCATAAACACAGTTGGCTAGTTAGGATCTGAGCTGCAGTGTCAGGAAGCCCATCATGACTAAAAGGAAGAGTCCCATTGGTCCAGGAGAGCTGCTGGCCATGCTGCTGGCTGGGGTGCATTCAAGGCTTGTGATTGCCGAACTGGCCTGACTAAATGTTGCCGCACCTCCAATGGTAGCATCACAGACAGCCTGGGTAGTGCAGCCCTTCATGGCAACTTCTGTAGATGTTTCTTCTGGTGTTCAAAAAGACAGAAAAGAAGAGTAACCACATGGGGGCAACAGATACTCATCAATCCATTTCTTCAAAGCTAAAGAAATAGTCTACCACCCACTTCTCCCAGATGTCTTTCCTTCTCAGAAAGAACCAATTTGCTGCATTAGTTGCTTGTATTTTGATATGATGATTGATATCCTGCCTTTAATTTAAAGATAGTCAACAATATAATCCTGTGCAACCTAAACAGAAAGTGGTGTAATAAAGGAGGATAATAAAACAAAGCTTTTTACAGACAGCAAAATCAATAAAATGGACTGACTAGGACCCAGTATCAACCGTGTTGCCTTGGCTAATTCATTTTGCTTCTTAAAACTCAGAACTTTTCTCATAAAGTAGCTGAATGGTGCAGTGGGCCTAAAACCTATTTGGAAACTTGCCAGCCATTTCTTCTATTTGCCTGTAGAGTAAGAATTCTTTGTTCCTCCTTTGCTCCCACAGATTTTGGACCTCTTTTGATGGGCACTGACATACTTTTTAGGTAGATAGCAACAGTGTCTAGAGTAGGTGCAGAAAATTGGGTTTAGTGGCCTTTTTCTTTCACATCTAATATTGAAGTGTCATGGGAAATAGAAAGGGCGATCAGAAGGACACTGCTGAGTGCCAAGTCAGGAGAACTCAAAACTGGCTGGGCAATTTGTCTACTACAACTTATCTTGCCTTTCCCCAAGGGCCTCAAGGTGGAGCAGATACTCTTCCCTTTCCCATCTTATCCTTACAACCAAATCAGGTAAGTTAGGCTGGGATGTGGTGTTTGGTTAAAATCAGCAAGTGAACTTTAAGGCTGAGTAGAGATATGAATTAAGGTCTCCACCGTTCTAATCCACCATGCTAACTTCTACACTTAGCTACTCTAAGAAACAGATTCTTTGCCCTCCATTTGAAATGCAGCCCTGGTATATTCAATGAACGTTCTATCTACTGCAGCAAGTCAAAAGCAACATTTCTTTCAAGTTAAGCATGACTTCAGGGGAATGTCTATGTCATTTTCCCAGCAACATCATGGAAGCGGTTTGCCATTGCCTTCTTCTGAGATTGTTTTGACCCCTCTGCCATGTATTTTATAACCCTGGGATATTCTGAAGGTATCCAATCTAGATACTATCCATGTGTGATCCTGCTCAGCTTGTCAAGACAAGCCAAAGCTAGCTAGGTGCTGTCAAGTTTCTACTTGAAAAATTGAGAGATTGAGAGAGAAAGAGAGAGAGAGAGAAATTTCAAAGAGACAAAATACTTTATAAATATTGCACTAGAAAGAAATGTCCCAATTGTTTAAGGACCTAAGACCTCTGCTATATAAATGTACATTCTATGTACCTGCTGAAAGCTTTCTCATCTATTTTACTGGTGACATTTGACTGGCAGCAACATTCCTTTGTTCACATGTATTGGATCCTAATGCAAGAAAAAGAAAAAGCCATACCCCCCCCAACACACATGCGGCATAAGATCTGAATGCATCTGTATCTCTGAATCAGCACAACAAACATTCATTTCTGCCCATTATGTTCCTATAAGTACCTTGCAAATTTGTTCATAGTTCAGATTCCAGATAAATAGCTTAAAGAATGAATTCTAGCTTAAGATTGCAGATGCCTGCACAATGTTGTGAGCTACTGATGTGGTTCTTCACATCTAGCTTTGCTAGATTTGTGCTGGGCTCCATGCTCCTTTGGGAAATACACTTAAAAAAAAAAACCTAAGGTGTTTCATGCATCTTCTAATTATATGTCTCCAAACAAGTTTTACTGCTAATCTTTCAAGGAAACTGACAATGCCTGAATCAGTCCACACCATTATTTGCCTGTTGGATCTCTCCTTGGCTTGGCATATAAGGGCCTTCAAGGACTATGTCTTGCCAATGATTCCTGAGATTAACACTGTGACAGCCAGAGTTCCCTGCTTCATAACCATCCCTGGATCTGATGAGTTTAAAAAATATTGGCTGGTATTTATTATCATATGTATAGTCAAGCTGATGGAGAAGGCAGTGATGCAGCAGCCCCAGGAATTCTCATTGGAAATTGATTATCTAAATAATTTCCAGTCTGGGTTCAGACATGGATTTTGCTCAGAGACAGCCTCATTGCCCTGATAGATGCTCTGTGTCAAGAGAGAGACAGGGAATATAACTAGATCTCTTGGTGACTTTTAATACTGTTGACCGCAGCAGCCAACTGGAGTAGCTAAGATAGCAGGAGGCAATTTAGTGAAATTCAGCAAACTCTTTAATTACTTGAAAACTTTTTGCCTGAAATGGCTGTAGCATAGGTATTTGGATAAGTTTCACAAGATACAACAGCCACTGTTTGATATCTTCCGTGCCTTGCATAAAGTTCTCTGTATACTTTTCATTTAAAAGAAATTGATGTTTTCTGATATGAAGTCCATTATCAAACCCCATAAGAACCCAAATAAAATGCTGAATGAATAATTGAATAGATTACCAAAGTGTATGTATCCGGCCAAATCAATGCACTGAGACTCAGATCCAACGCAGTCAACACTATCATCCTTACAAGAATCAGGAAATGAAGCATAGCAGGCCGGGCACCGAAGACCATTCACCTTGGTATCTAACTCTGGCACTGGATAAATAGAAAATTTTTGGAAACTATACCAAACAGCATAATTAAATAAGACAGTGGCATATCTATGGGCTAAATATTCTTGGAGGGGGAGGGAAATTACCCTGTTTTGAGCTCCAAATGAGTTGTTCCAATTAGTCAGTCAGTTCATGGGACATTACAGAAGATAAAACAATTTTGCACCTTGTTCTATCTTTACCAGGGTTTTTTTTTTTCCACTCACAATAGAGGTAAACACAGGCTAAGCATTTAAAAAACATTCATGTTCCTCATCAATAATAATTCTTGTGTTTATTGCAGCAACTTTCTTGTCCCTGAGAATTGAGCTCAATGAATGAATGTAAGAATGTTTTTTTTATAAAGAATCTGTTTGACTGCTTAAATTGATAACTTTAGGCTATTTTATTTTAGACTGTTCACTGAATTATTTTAAATGTGCACAAGGCAAATTACTCATTTTTAAAAAATATATTGTTATCTGTATCTTGGGAGTTATTTTAATGTCCTTTTTATGCTGTTTCTGCTTTCACCATAATCCTGAAAAAGAAATAGGTTTTCTGAAACTTTTTTAACGGTTCTTGGAATTCCTGCCTCTCTTTTGTTTACTTCACTGTTAGCACTTCTCCTCCATTGTTCCAACCTTGCCAGAAGGGCACTGAGCCCCAAAGGCGGGTTTCCATCTCAGAACAGTGTTGTCAGAACACTTCCAAAGAGATTGGAATAGCTATTTCCAGATTAAAACATTTTGCACCTCATTTATCTGCTTCACCTGCTAAGATGGAGATGGAAGGACATGGCACCTTGAGAATGACGACGTCACTTTTTACATTAAGTACAGATTTTAGATTGAACAATGATCCTACCAAAAATGTACAATTAAGTTTAGATTATAAACACAAGCCAACAACATGTGTCTGGGTGAGCTGATCACCTGGGGTTAAAATGGATAATATGGAAATGATGTGTCGTCCTTTATTTTTTGAATTTATTTAATCAGAAGTACACCTGCTCCGATTTGGATCAGGGCCATTCCTTGTGGAGCGTGGGAGGACTAAATCTTCACCTCTGACTTCTTCCTTCTTACCTGGCTGGGTTTTTTTTTTTTAACTCACCCTATTTTTTTTTAGCCTGGACTTAACTTGGTCATTCTGCTTTTAATAAAAGCTCACTGAGTGAAATCATTTGTACAAAAGCACAAGACAGTAAAGCTCAGAATGAATACCTACATTTGACTGGAAAATCTGTATTGCAGGCATCGTCCTTACAGCAAAAAACACTGGTCCTTGATCTTCCTTTTTTACCCAGATTAATATGAGCAGAGCCCCCTTCACAGACGCTTGATGGAACACAGTTCTTAACAATCCCCTGAGCCTGAAGTTCTTCTGCAGGGAGGAAAATAAATGGACATTTCTTGCAGATAGTGAGGACATGCTGCCATGAAAAGTGGCAAAACCTATTTAAAATTACAGTAAATAGAAAGAGTAGCACCTGTTCCCATAACTTGCTTAACCTTGACAACCACTAACCAGGTAACAGATCTTTACTGGTGACTGTGGCATCCCACAACCATTAACTAGTTCAATGGTCATAATCTGGGGATACAGAGTCTCCACCACCCATGACTCATTGCATCAGTAGTGGCACAACTTCACAACATCCCTAGCCTGTTCGCCATTGGCCATGTGGGCAGGGATGCAGCAGTGGGCAGAGCTTGGTTGCTGCAGCCACCCCATGTTCGGGATGAGTGTTTTGTCATTGGCTGCTCACATTCTCCGCTGTTCTTTCTCCCCAGGAATTTTTCTTGGAGAACTAAAGCCGTGAGCATCCTCAGGAACATGCTGCTTTCCTCAAAAGCAACATTGTGGCATTGTTGCCACAAGGTCCACCCGTTTTGTACATGTGTGACCCCCATGATGCACATACCAAAGGGGCTGGGCTTGAATCATGAGGATGCAATGCTGATTTGATCATTCTGTCCCCTCTTGACCTCCTGCAAATGCCTCTGGTAAGGTATGCAATAGAAGTGAACTACTGGGTTTACATGTTCCAACAACCATGACTGAGTGGGTGGAGTTAGTTTAATCCTATGTATGAGTGGGGTTTGTTTAAGGCTAGATATAGTTTCCTAGTGTTGGAGTCCCCACAACACATTACTCCCCTCCTGTACCCAGTTCACCAGGTGAGCTAGGAATTCTCACTGGTGGAATTCACACTGCTAACAATGTAAATGTTAAAACATCATTATAAATTATTTCTACTGCTGCTACAACTATTACTGTTATTCTTCACTTTCCAGCCAATTATACCGATAAAACAGATTGTAGAATAACAATAACAAACTCAAGCATGCAAAACTGCCCAGAGTCACTGGGAATCAGGTGGCATATAAATTGAAATAATAATAATAATAATAATAATAATAATAATAATAATAATAATAATAATACAAGTGAAACAGGTGAACAAATAAAGTAATAAATGCCTTTACAAAAGAACCTTTATCCTCCTGGATACCTGACTCTCTCCAGGCAAAGCGCATAATAGAAAATACGTCTCAACCTAGAAGTCCCATTGTAGTTTCATAGAATCATAGTTGGACGGGGCCACGTAGTACGACTACCAGAACAGGGCTGCAAAACTCTAGATGGCCCCTAGATGATGGGAATATGGCTAAAGTTTTATTGCCTGAGTGGCTAGCTGGATTTCTGCAGCTCAATTCTGGTAGACCTATACAGTATTTATGTCACTGAGTCCAACTCCCTTCCCCATGCAGGAATCTGAATTAAAGTATCCATGGCAGGTTGCTGTATGACTTCTGTCTGAAGGGTCACCCATAATCTCTCTCTAGTTGTTTTTCATTTTCAAACTGGTTCCATTTTCAAACAATTTTTATCGTTAGGAGTTTTTTTTTCTAACATGCAATCAGTATTTGTCTTGCTATTATTAGACAGCCACGTGCAATTTTCCCATTGGTGAAAAAACTTAATAAGGGGCCTCCAATCTTCAAAGGAGCAGAACTCAAAAGATTTGAACACTCTGAAATGCACACTTCAGTTATAAAGGAAAACCCACTTTCCAATGTTACTTACCCAATTCACTCTCGAATGCAGTGATACCACAAAAATCATGTCCTGGAGGACATACTTTTATATTACCGGAACAGTTGTGACCCTGACCTATGCAAACTTCACATTTCAGAGCAATACCTGGAGAACAGACAAAGAGAGAAAACGTGTGGTCATTTTTATCTACCTGTTTAATTTTTGGAAGAGAAATTATTAAACTTCCATAGTTCTAAGGTCTGAAATGTCCCCTTAGGCTTCATAACCAAAAATACAACTTGCCTATAACAACTCAAAGATAATTCCCAGTGCTAACTCAGATGAGTTATGGGTCTGTATATAGCCATTTGTTTATATGAATTGTGAAAAAAAGCGGAGTGCAATAAGTCTGTAGTATTTGGGGCAATATTAAATGAGCCTCACGTACTTCATACAGATGGACTAATTATCTTGCAATGCTACTCTGGATTTTTGCCAGAGATCAGGGATAACTGGAAGCACATGACTGCTAAGATGCATAACTCGTTCATAAACCTGTTCACGAACCAGCTCAGCCTCATTTAGCAAAACATTTATCTGGTTTTGATCAAGGAATTATCAGTATGCTTATGCCACTTCACAGACTTGTTGCATTATATATACTCTTTCCTAAAATAATACAAATTTGCAAGAGAGTGGAATCCTGAGAACAGCTACCTTATATAGATCAGACACATTTGCACAAATAAATCTGTCATTCAGTGAGATGCCAGAAGGAGATTTCATAAAATGGGCACACAATTATCTTATTTGTTAATGATGTAGCTACAGAAATGCCTATATCTGAGCCTTTTAATACTAATGCAGTCTTTGGGGCAGCTAGATAACTGAAAACAAGTATGAGCTGCAAACAGAACTAATATTTGAAATAATAAAAATTGAGAGGGGTACAGCAGATAAAACAAAGCATTAGATTAAAACTTAGCCATTCAATTTAAAAAATGCCTGACCAAACAGGAAATTTTTGAGAGCCAGCAAAACACTGTAACAACAGAGTGCCATATAGCCTAGTGAAAACTGATTTATCAGATCCTGATGCAATGGAATTTGCATGCATAGAAAATCCATTCTGATCATTTGCACAGTGAAATCCTTATATGAGTGGCCCAAGTCATGTGATTCGTGTCTACTTACATCATCTGCGTAATGATGTCATTGCCCAGATTGTTTAAGTGACTTCAGTCGCATAATTTGTGCTGTTACAATTATGTGCCTTTCAATTTACTGGGTTTTGAGGAATGATGAACATCCCCTCCATTCAATTAGTCCATTAAAATGAGGTTTCACTGTATTCTAAACCTAGGAACATGAATCCTGTTGGGAATTCTCTTGTCCAATCCAAAAAGTCAGATCTTTATAGAAAAAGAAATTAACAACTCTTATTGTGTCAATCTTTCCAAGCATCTGCATGTGTGTACACACAGCACCCATAGAAAGGACACTGGACACTGGAAAGGCACCACAACTCTTCTCCCCCCACCATTTTATACTGCCATCACCGAAGAATGAGCTACTCACCGCTGGCTATCAGTGCTGAGAGTAGGCTAAAACTGAGGAAGGCCTGCATTGTTGCTGGAGGAGAACTGGGCTGAACTTCTAATGTGGCCAGCTTTTCAGCTGGGAGGTATACCTTCAATTACTACAAATGAAGGAGGAGTATCCCAAAGCATCCTTTCTCCTCAAGGCCACAATGGAGAGGAAGTTGTGCAACAAGGACATACCTCCTTACCAGCACAAGCCAGATCACTTCCAGTGCAAAAGCTGCTTTGGCTTCTGATAGGTGTTAAGGCATTGGTTTTAACTAAGAAAGTCCTAAAGGAGAAGGGCTCAAGAGATGTATGGGGCAGTTTCCTCCAGTCCTTGATTCGGTTAGACCTGTGAGTTCTACTCATGAGAGGATACTCCAGGTAGAAAAAGGAAGGTAAAAAAGTCAAGAGGGTCACCACAATTGCACAGTTGCACCCACCATTCTGACGTTTTTCAACCACCCCCTTGTAACACTCCTGCCAGATACTCTCAGTCCAGGAGCTGGGAGCTTGGAAGCAGGGCTTCTCCTCCATTGCTGCCCTCCAGAGTAAGCACCCCCCTCCCCCAATCCAGTTGGTTTCTATTATGCTTGTCTTCCAGAAAGCTGCTCAAACATGCTGTTAATATCTCTGCTTCGCCTGCCATCTGTTTGGCAGGATGCTGTTTGAATCCTATTATATCCTTAATTAGAATTAGGATGTGTTTTTATGGTTTTACTGTTTTGAGATGTGTGCTTGCAGCCATAGAAAAGTAATGAAAAATAAGCGAAAGAGAGAGCGAGCAATGATAGATTAGTTGTATTTTAACCCTGTCCAAAGGTGCCCTTCCCAGAGTATCTACCCAAGAAGCCTTTCAGGTAGGTGGACCTCACTTAACATGACTTAACAGGAACTTGGAGCTTGTTCTCATGAATCTCCATACCTTGAAAATGTCAGTGCCAGATCCATGAGTCTTTCTTCAGAGGAAACCTAGAGTGTTTCATAAAGTAAACTGTAAGGATACCAAGATCTGGTATGCACACTGCAGTAATCCATGGTTTGTTGGATAAATCACATTGGGCTGGGATTACACAGCATACTAAGCTAGGAATAATTGTTTAGAAAACCACAATGCAGGGTTCAACAGCAGTCTAAAATGTTTCTGATTCTGTTTTATTAATTGCAGTGTGATGTCACATTTGAATCCTACCGTTATGGCTGTTCTTTACACTCTTTTATTCAAACTAGTCAGATTCATAAACCATGGCTTAAATTAGTTTAAGTCAACCATAGTCAAGACCATAGTCAGTTTGTCTGGATTTAGACATAATGCTAAGCCACAGTTAGCCTGAAACAGAAGTTAAAAATGTATTTCTCAACATGAAATCCCATTCCAGTTTTGTCCTCCAGCATCCAAATATTGAGTGCAATTGTCTACAAAAGGAACACCTACATGTGAAGAGCTGCCGCTGCAGGGATGTCCATGGGAGGTGAATGTCAAAAAAGTCAAAATGGTGATCATGTGCTCAAAGCACCACTCCTTTTTTACCCCTGTATAAGTACAGGTAGTCCTTGGTTAACAACAACAATTGGGACTGTTGCTAAGCAACTTGGTCATTAAGTGAGACATCACATAACCACGATGGACTTACGACCTCATTTCCACCGCAGTCGTTAATTGAATCACCTGCAGTTGTGAAGTGAGACATCACATGACCACTACTTGCAATTTTATGCTGGCTGCTCCATTGACTCTGCTTGTCAGAAGCTGGCTGTGAAGCATGCAAATGGTGATCACGTGACCACAGGAGGCTGATGGTGGTAAACACTCACTGGTTGCAAAGTGCCTGAATCTTGGTCATACGACCATGGGGGCACTACAACAGTCATAAGCACAAGGACTGGTCATAAAGTTACTTTTTCAGTGTTGTCATAACTTCATTCAAAGCTCCTGTCATTCATCCCTAGCTCCTGCCCACCTAGCAGTTCAAAAGCATGCCATCTGCAAGTAGATAAATAGGTACTCCCATTTTGGTGGGAGGAAATGCTGGTGGTACTTTGCGTTGGGGACAGGAACCAGTTGCTGACCTGCCTAGATGCGATCATCAGGAAGATGCGATGCGACTAACAGAAGATCGGCAGAGGAAGAAAAAGCCCGGATGATCCGACTCCCCTGTGACTGCTGCTGGCCAAGTTTAGAAATTGTAGTAATTA